GCTTTAGGATTTCGGGAATGTCGGGCGGATGGCAGAAAAGGCATTTGCGTCACACCCTCCCGCTATGTGGTCGGCCTTGCCATGCTTTGCCATGCTTTGCCTCTCTCGAGGTTGCTTCAAGCAGCTCAAGGCCCCTGGTTCGGGCGCATAGTGCAGGGTTTCGGGCTTAGGGTTCTAGTCATGTAGGGCAACTTTCCAACACGGGAGCAGAATCGTTGCGAACCTCAGTGGGATCTAATATGATGTCTTCGGGTATGAGGTTTGAGAACACAATCAACACTAGCTACACAAACGCTTTCGGGTACGAGGATGTTGTCTTGCTGTCCACAGGCTACATATTGATTCGTGGGCGTCCCCAAAACTTCTTGAAGTATGGGACTCGCCCATGGTTTTACAGGTTTTAGACGACCAGAATAAGGGTCAGCTTTTGCTAAAATGTGCATTCCTTCCGGAGCCCTTCCACTCAGGATTGCATGTCGGAAAAGATGTCTTGTGCTCCGTCATTGTTTCAAATATGGGAGCTTCAGTTAGTGATATCAACGCTTGGGGTGTCGCAGCAGAACCAGTATGGTAAAAAGCAGGCGCCAATAAGCCTGAACCTTGTTTGCGTTCATGGTACTAACCCAGAATCCCAAGCCGAAAGTCCAAGCTCCAAGTCTTTGGTGGCCATTTTCCCGCGGAGGACATGCACTTTGATGAGGCAGTCGCACGAGCTGCCTCGAAAAGGTTCCCTTGGGACGTAGAGAAGGCCGATTCGTCGATTGCAATTCTTATCGTTACCTTTGGGGCCTGAGATCTCCAGACCTTGCGCGCGTAGAAGCATGCAGGTTCGTCAGTCTCAGTTCGTTCCGGAGGCCTGAAAATTTCATGCCATAGAAGAAATTGCCACAGCAGAGTACATAATTGCAAGCGCGCAAGCGGGCCGCCTCGGCAGCCGGGCCGGCCCACGTCCCAAGGCCCAGGAAATTCCCACGAAAGTTGCAGGCCCCAACCAAACCTCAGGTCGACTGGGTGCGAGGAGTTTTGGGGAAGGGCACCGGGGTCCGGACGTCGTGGGGTGGTTTCAGAATGGTGGTCCCATGAGGCTAGTTTTTTTCGAATTTTGGGCGCCCAATCTGTAGCACGACATCTTGCAGCGATGTCACACAAATGTTGGGGGGAAGGGTTCAAAGTCTTGGTTTGCTTGTTCCAGGCGTGGGGCCTAGAATTCCCACGTGCGTGCTTGCAGCTTGCTGTCCTTTTGAATGTTTTCGCTTTGGCAGCATATCTGCGACAGTTTCACCAACTTAAGTCGCAGGCGGTGGACTACTGCATGCACCACCAGGCGGGTTGTTGAGCCTCACTGGTTGCCTGATGGATTTGAAAATATTTGAGGTGTCAGAGAGCGTTGGCTTCTTCGTGCTTCACCGTAGTCGATCTTTGACATAAGTAAAGTAGGCTCATCGGCTCATGCCTTTAAACCGTGAATACGCAATGATATTGGGACAATGAATCCCCAAATAAGCCACACATATGTATGTAACAAAGATGTACATGTATAGATTCTGTGCTGGTTCTGTCTGATTGCTGGTGAAGGCCGGAAGCCTTGTTCGCAGACCCAAATCCCATGCCCAAACGTAGTTCTACCTTGAAAGTTCGTGTCCTGTGTAGATCCGGGTTTCAATATGTACCGCGATGCGGTTGAGAGTGTGGGATTTCTTGTTTCGAAGAAACAACCGGAATGAACATGAGTGCAGCGGTCATGAATAGAACTTAATAGAACGTTTTCGCTCAGGACAAACAGGCGTAACAGCACTACTGGGGTGAGTGTAAGCTCCATTTTGCAACATTTGCATGCACTGGCTTGCCTGGATTAATCAGGACCTAACTTTAGCTTCTAAGTTCTCAACCGTTTGACCAAGAAACTAAAGGTTGAGGGTTAATGCATCTGCGGAATCGACGAAGCTGCTGTGCTTGTGTTGCGGTAGATATATCGCGCCTGTACCAAAGATAAAGCCTGTAATTTGCGTTTCTCTTCTCTTCCATGAGCCATCTCAAAAGAGGCCGAGCTCTACGAGGCGCTCCGGAGTTTGAACCGATCACGCTCCAGCGGGATCATGCGCCATTCCTGTTTCTGCATGAGCCTTGACACCTCCAAGACTTTGAAGCCACAGGCCCTAACGCGGCATGTTTTAGCAATGTCTCGCGCTTCCAGATATTCATACGCAGGATCCACTCCCCCGTCTTGGCCTCCTTCACTCCTCGAAGGACGGGAACAGTCGTGCACCTTGCAATGGAACACCGAAGTATATCGTATTGTCTTTGTAAGCTCCCACAAAGGGATCAAAACTTGTCGTTTTGGGATATCTCCGAGTTGTATTTCATCTTGGGGGTGCCCCGGCAGTAATTCGGCCTAATTTCGGAAGAGGTCTTGGGTCACTGTCTTGGGTCCAGCATTTGCCGGCTTTTCCCTAGCCGCGGGAACTGGAGCACTCTGCAAGCAGAGGGTGTTCAGCTTGTGTCTGTCAGCTCTTTTGAGCACCACATGCCCGACGCTTGAGCCATTGGCACCAAGCCTGAACCCAGAACCCGAGACCTCAGGAGCCGCAGAGAGTGAAGCCGTGGGGTAGCTTGTGCTTGTGTCGGGGAAAAGCATTGTGGCACCCTGGATCTTACACCCCAAACTCTAAACTCTCAAGTTGCATGCGTTTCGCTTGGAACTTGACGTGTCGATGGGTTTATCAGCTTCAAGAGGAGCCTAGGGCGTGGCCTGCAAGAGATAGCAAACTGTAGCCTAGGGCCTACCTGAATTCCGCTTGCGCGTGCCTGGCACGCCGAGCCCAACAGTGGCAAAGCTCATGTGAGCGACCGTCAAAATTGGCATTGATTAGCTTGAGTGAGGGACGGACATCAGTTTATGGTTTGGGGGCTTTTGATCTGCAGAACGATATGGGACACGCAGAGAACGATAACCCCAGCATGATGATAAATATATGCGATGTGCGGACTTAGTATGAAGTTCGCGGAAGAGCGTTTTAACCTGCAGAACGATATGGGACACGCAGAAAACATAACCCCAACATCCATGTCCTTCAGCTTAACAAGTAATATAATTTTAACGCTACGCGACCCGCCTCGGCCCGGCCCAGCGCATCCGCGTGAGCATGGTGATTCCGGAGCGCCCAAGTTGCTGGGCCCCAAGCAATAAGGGTTGGGTTTAGGGTTTAGGGTTTAGGGTTCCGGGTTTATGGTTTATGGTTTGGGGTTTAGGGTTGAGGGTTAGTTTAGGATTGAGGGCTTAGGGCTCAAGGTTCACGCTTTGGGGTTTAGGGTTTTTTGGGTGTGGGGTTCAAGAATCGTAGGGTGGAGCCAGCCCATCAGGGGTAGGGGGGGTGGGGGGGGAAGGGGGGGCAGGGGGAGGGTGGGAGGGGGGGGGGGGGGGAGGGGGGGGGGGAGGGGGGGGGGGAGGGGGAGGGGAGGGGGGGGAGGGGGGGGGGAGGGGGGAGGGGGGGGGGGAGGGGGGGGGGGGGGCGGGGGGAGGGGGGGGGGAGGGGGGGGGGAGGGGGGGGGGGGGGGAGGGGGGGGGGGAAGGGGGGGGGGGCGGGGGGGGGGGGGGGGGGGGGGGAGGGGGGGGGGGGGGGGGGAGGGGGGGGGGGGAGGGGGGGGGGGGGGGGGGGGGGGGGCGGGGGGGGGGGGGGGGGGGGGGGGGGGGGGGGGGGGGCGGGAGGGGGGGGGGGGGGGGGGGGGGGGGGGCGGGGGGGGGGGGGGGGGGGGGGGGGGGGGGGGGGGGGGGGGGGGGGGGGGGGGGGGGGGGGGGGGGGGGGGGGGGGGGGGGGGGGGGGGGGGGCCCCTGCTGGGAAGGGCTGCAACTGCCTCTGGTCCTGGCGAACCATCCGCTGGCGGCCCCTGCTCTCCTAGGGGGGGTACCCATTTTTGGCAAAAAAAGGGGGCCGAAAAGTGGGGAGGGGGGTGCCTGTTCTGACAACCTATACACCTTCGGCCCGAGGCCTCGGCGGATTAGTGGCAAGACTCATGTGCCAAGCAGGATCAGTGGCGGCCCCTTCCAATCTGCTTCGTGTTCATCCTCAAGCCCTTTTGCTTTTCAAGCTCAGCATCCGTCGCATCTTGCGAGCACAGTGCCACGTCTTCACCATGGGCAGTCCATGCAGCCAGTTTCTCAGTAGACTGTTGTTCCAATACAGGTACGTATGCCCACACCAGTCACTGCAGCACGCTTGCAGTAGAGGGGGCACCGCTGCACCTGTTAAGTCGACCTCTAAGCCAAGCCATGGCCACCCTGGAAGACGTGGAACGCCGAGTGGCCGCGCTGGAAAGGAAGCTGGCGAAGGCCCGAACTTCCTGCCGGGTCTGCGGGACGTTTCCTTCAAGTTGCAGCTGTGGCCGAATCTCGACACAGGCCAAAGCATTGCAGAGCCTCGTCAAGGAGAAGGCAGAGATATGCCCTCTGTGCCTGGTTTGACGGCTCCAGCCCGTTGGAAGCTGCAGGCTTGCTGCAGGTGGACGAAGTGAAGGAATCAGTTGCGGGCTTAGCTCAGCTCGCCGTAAGTGCTTTGGGTGACAGGGTGGGTGCAGCCATGGTTCGGCCCAGGTGTCATGGTTTTCACGTCCTGGTACCCGTACACCTGTGGTTGCCTTGGTGCTGCGAGTCTGAGCCGGAACCTTTCAAGTGACTCCTCTGCAACTGGTGATCCATGGTGATCCTGTATATCCTGTCAGGCCAACCCGAGGCTGTTGCTGCGAGACGCCCAATGTGGAGGGCTGAGCCGTCTGGGGCCCAAGATGCCGACTGATTTGCAGGACCGAGAGACAGTGCCACCTGCTGCGTGTTTGATTTCGGACTGTCAAATCCCTTCGTGAGATTTTGCGAAAGGCGAACAGCACCAACCACATAAAGCAGCACAACAACACACACAAGCCACACACACACAATCAGGGAAGAAAGCAGCAAGCAAGTTGTTCTAGTGTTCTTCCTTGTTATTGGTTGATGTTTCGATTCCTGCATGTTTCTGGGCCTCGCGCAGCGATCACAAGAGCAGCGCGGCAGCCATCCGAGAAAGGTGGGGCAAGGTCTGCTCGAGCGGTTGTATTGCCTTTGCTTGGAACCGTAAGGAGTTCAGCTTGGTGGCGAGCGGTTCGCAGGAAGTGTAGATATCCATCCCCTGACGCCTCGCCCGTCTAACTGTTATCCAAGCCTTCACTTGCTCCTGCGTCCCATCGCAGCAAATTGCTTTGGTTTCGGTGTCAAACTGAGCCAGCACCTGCATTTGCCCTTTTCGCAAGGTCCATTTCGTCCCGGGATTCTTCGAGGCGTTCCCCTTCAGGATGGGCAACGTGCGTCTCAGTGCATGCCAACTGCCCGCCCAACGCAAATAATACGGCACTTTGTGCCAGGGCTCCGGCCAGAGCGTGCAAGCCACAAACATGTTGGAAGCTCAACGCACAGAGTTGGGTTCGTAACGCTTAGTGCGTAGCGGGCCCCTTTGCTAGGCGTGGGAGTTCCTCCCTCCCTCGAGCCCAAAGCAGGCTGGACCAATGCAAACCTTAGCTTGTTGCCCCATTACGTGTTGCACCATGACAGTAACTTGGCAGTGACAGGCCGAACGTCCACCACTTGCGTGGCGAGTCGGATGGTCAACAGCTCCCGAAATCATGAGGCCGGATCTAGAGCGTGTGCTGACAGGGGCTCATGGCAGTGCGATGTTCGAAATGAGCACATGTATGGGAAGAAGCATCTTGAATCCGGCTTGCCAGCTTTCATCAAGTGGAGGTCAGCCGGCAGGCGGTGTCTGGTGCAAATGAACTCAACTCTCCATGGAATAAGCCTCACAACTACAGAGCATGCACGGTGGCGAATGAGTTTCGAGAAGCCGGAGAATATTTTACCATACGAAAACTTTCCACGCAGACCTATCGAACAAAGTCAAAGCCCCTCGTGCTCTTGACGTTGAAAATGCCCTCCCTTCGAATTGCACTCAAGGGCCGGGGAATGTTGCAGTTTGAGTCGGGAACAGCACGACAATGCGCATGCCGCGCATGTTTTGCGACCTCGGAAGAGTTTGACCCTTTATGCCGCGGCAACACGAAGGACGAAGCGAAAAGGTACTTTGCAGGATTGTGGGTTTCGCCTCAAGGCTCGAGGGAAGAGGTGGCTTCCAAACCCTGGCCCTGGACCCGACCCTTTTGCGTGCCTCAAACAAACACTCTGAATACTACCGACACCAGCCCAGGTTTATGCAAAAGATTGCACCGTGTTCAATTCTTCATAGCTCCACAACACGCACTCTTCAACTCGCTTGGCGCAGAGGCTTTCTCTAGACTTTGTCGAGGCTATCTTCAAGACTTTTCACTCACTTGCCTTTCTGTGACCTTTTCAGACTTTTCAAGAGCCCCTGAATTCCAGGAGGATGTTGAAACGGAGAAACTTTGGACATTTGTTCCAGGTTTGATAGAGTTAACTAGGGAAGCCAACCACATAACACTAAAGCAAAGCAATGTTGGGTGAGAAGTTCCTCGGCCCTAAAGGCCTTCACGGGACGGCTCGAGGGGATTTGGGGAGAGGCCCCGCAGTGAAGAGGAGAACCCTCCCTCATCTTTGAGATCAATTTACAGCTGGCGCACTGCGCCGCATGTTTCCTTGTAGCTGCCGATGCGCAAAAGAACGAAGCAATCGGCAAATGAACCCCAAGCTCTCACCCTGTCGCCTCCCATCTTCGGAATCTGGGCCTTTGCGTGACTTCCCCTTCCTCGCCCTCGAGCACCGAAGGTTTCGAACAGCACTCTCTTAGCCTTACTTTGTTTGTATGGCCACGGGGTGTCAGAAGCTCGGTGATGTAAGCAATGCTGGTGTTGAGAAACAGATGTAGTTGACACGACCTTTACACAGCACGGCTGCTACATGGCGACACCCGTCAAGTCCACGACCATGTACAACAGAAGACAGCCATGGAAGCAAGGATTCACTCTGAAGCTCCAGGTTCCTTTAGCAGACTCCCACAAGGAACGTCGGCGCGACAAACGGAAAAAACGGAACCCTACACCGACGTTCCATTGTTTTGAAGCCGGGAAAGCACAATATGTTCTGCACATTCGCAAAGTTCGTTCCTTCATCGAAGGCCAGTGCAGTGAGTGGCGCCAGTGGCATCAAAGAGGTTTGAACATTGCAAGGATATGCGTGGAACGAACATGACAGGTTGAAGACATCCCTCTTGACGCACCGAAAAGCACCTCTGCCCGTTGTGAGGAAGGTGGGGCGTCCCAGGGCAGACCCAGTATGCGTCATGTTCTTAGCGCCGCAAGTCGCGGTGCAAGATGGAAGGTTTGTGGCCGCCCTGGCAGGAACGGATGATGAAGGTAACACGTGTTTTTGCAAGCCTGCGGAGGGCCATCAATGGTGCGAGCAATCTTGAGCATTCAATCTTGAAGCTTGCAAACTTCGCCCCTGCAGCATGGCATGTGTAGGTCTTCTAGTCAACAGGTGCAAATCCTGACGCATCGGCCCCCCCAACTCACGGATGTCACAGCATTTGCTACCACAAGCGCTTGAGCGCTGCAATAGGAAGTGTTTGTAGAGTTGTGGACATCCACAGATGGGGCAGGCCAGATGTTGAATCGACACGGCTTTTGACGTGGTGGCTGCCAGTGCCGGGTACCCTAGCCCCTGACTTCTTTGTTGTCGCCAGTTAGTGATAGCAAGCTATGACTGAAGCTCAACTGTTCGTGCATGTGTCAAGTTATAGCTGCTTTCTTTTAATTATGAGAAAAATCATTGGATGCTCTCGGTTACACGGAAACATCGTTACTATGGCTTCAAGCGCTGAGTTGCCTTGCAGTCCTCTTGCGAGCCATGAGTCGAAGCCTCGCAGAAGCTGTGAGTAGCAGCGTCAGCGCCGTGGACTTCCTGCTGCAGTTGATCCCCTTGGAAATGTCGAATCAGTGGTTAGCCACTTTTGTGGGGCGTTGCCAAGTAAACCAACCTTTTGATGTTCTTTAGTTTGTCGGACTTGTAAGGCCTTCATTAGTCCACCACGTGCAAAAGACTGCTAAGGAAAGTTTTCTCCGTTTCTTCAGTGGAGCAGTACATGTCGTGGGATGAACCCTTGTCACCGATGCGAACCCACAAACAACTGGAACTCAGTCTCAAGCTGCCTGGCTTGTGCGCCACTAAGAAAAGTGAGTGCAATGTTCTTGGGCTGCGCGCCAAAGAGGCAAAGAAAGTGGTGCAACAGAAGAAGAACGAGATGACCTTGGAACTCATGAATGAGCACCATCACTATTTCGCGCAGGCTTGGGACAATGTGAAAGACTTGCCCTCAGCTCGGCAGAAGAGAAAGCTTCAGCAGACCCCGTGACGACGGGCCCCACTCGCGTGATGCCTGCAAACAGGCAGTGGTGTTTGATGTTGGAATAGTTGTAGCTTGCAAGTTCATCCAGGCCGTGACTTGAGCAGTTGAGTCTACGGGGTGTTCCATGCAGTAGCTTTTGCGGTGTATGGGAAACCCGCTTATTTCACGTGCTGGGAAGCTTGTACCGAGCCCGCCAGCCACAGCGAGCCCACGAGAAAGATTTCCTCTGCGTGCTCGGTTTTCTGAGTTCTTCGTACATGCCAGTGAAGTTTCTCTGCTGGTAGTAATTTTGAGTGCCTTCACGCAGAGCCCAGGATTCTGAAACGACGATGACACGTACACAGCCGCGTGGTTTCACCACGGGACTGCTGGGAATAGCCTATACGTCTTGCAACCATACGTTTTTTGCCCAAAGCTTCGGCGAGTCATGCCCCAAGCCCAAGCCACGGCATGAGCTCCACCACGTTTGCACGGATGTCTGAAAGATCTTCTTGCGCACCATGTCTTTCTTTAGAGCCATTGAGTGATAGGTTCAGGTCAAAGCTTCACTGGGCGCCAGCCAAGCCAAGGACGTAGCAGGCAGCGTGTTGGTTCGCGCGTGAGCCCAGGAGTCTAGAACGACGAATTGGTTGGTGGCAAGAGCGCAGCCGCGTGGTTTCACCACGGGACTGCTGGAATAATTGTGGGGATAAGTTGACACAAATATCGAGTTTCGGTTCTCATGGGAGGGATATGATGCTGGGCATGTCCGGCAAGTTCCCGCTTTGCGACTTGGCGACTTGAGGTTTCCTTCCCGACTTTGTTGCAGAGCTCGGGCAGCAAGGAGACCAAGGCGAGGCACAAGTGACCGGGGGGGGTATCTGTCGAATCATGCGAGTTTCGCAAACCCCTTGCATTATTTCTTCTTCGTGTCAGCCCACGGCCTGCGGCTTGCGTGGCGCACGCGTGTCTTCTTGATGTTGTCAAAGATGACTCAACATCGGATGCATCCGTTGAGGGTGATCTTCGCCTCTGAAACTGCCACAGCGCTTTGGACACCTCGGGCCACAATCGCCCTCATCAACACCTCCCGGGCCACCCACTAAGGGCCTTCGGTCATATCAGTCATACCCATGTTCCAATGCTAGGGGAAGCACCGCTGCATGGTCATGTGCCCCCCGGCCAGCATGCCCTCCACTCTAGCCAGAGTCTTTTGAAATTGCACAAGCGCGGTGTATCGGGCTCTGAGTAGTTCTGGCAATCTCTGACGCTGGGGTTGGCAGGATTGCATCCGCGTCCAGAATCAGATGTCAGTGGAGGCCGGCGCTGTCAAACGGTCAAACTTCAGCGGATGGGTAGGCAGCATTAGGCATCACTCAGGAGGGTGCGTTGCTTCCAGGATGTCACGCGAGCCAACAGTCAGGCGCAGGCAGTGTGTTTTCTGACACTGACGCAGCCCAAAAGTTTCGCATGTGTGCGCGCCTGTGGAGTTTGTTGGGATTGCCGTATGCCTAGACGAAACCATTTTGGAGCGTAAAGTTAACGGATGCCTTACGTGTGAGGGTCGCTCGATAGCACCAGTACTTCTGAAGCTTATCGTAGTTGCGGCAGGCATTGATGGAGGATTTCTCCTGACCTACAAGATTTCGGAGGACCAGATCCAGCAAGCGATTCTGGTGATCAACAAGGCCCTCTCTTTTTCCATGGTCGGTTCATGTCGACTCAATGTAGACCCGGGCGCGCGAATTGCTGCAGGCCGTTTTGAAAGCCTTGGCCCTCCGCTAGGAACCGGTCATCGCAGAGGCAGCGAGTTTGTTCTGTGATGCCTTGGCGGTTGCGATGGAGTTGGGCTCGTGACTTCCAGATTGAGGTGGTTGGGTTCACACGCAAGTGGTCACAGGTGCACTCTCGACAAGTTATTCGGCAATATTCGGCATTCTTGCGAAGTGCCAATTGCGGAGTAGGGGTTGGGCTTCGCCGCCGGCCTTGAGTAGCTGCAGCCAACAAGTTTCATTGGAGGCCGGGGGGCGCTGATGTTCGCTGGCGGAGCTGCGCGACAGTCAAGAGCCCGAGGTCAAACAAGTTCCGCAAGAAAGGGCTTTCACGGGTGAGGCTTCAAGTGCTGGCGTAGGCTTTAGGCTTCAGTCTGCAGGGCTTGGGGTTGAGGGACCATGCAGAGCCACTAACTTGGACTGCAAGCCCTAAGCTGACAGAGACCACTGATGAGGTGCTCGCGTGCAACAAGCCCGGAAGTTTCAGCTGTTTTCGTCTTGGCAAGGACTAGCTGGGGTGCCCGGCAGTGCCCTTATCACCTTTTTTGGGAATCTTGATTGCCTTTCAACGAGTGAAGTCGTGCAATGTCGTGCATTTACTTCTCAAGTTGCAGCACATCGCTGCTGGATTTCTCAGAACGCTTCTCCCTTGTCACAAGCCTCATTGCTAGCGACTGCTAGTGATACAGGCTTCTGCTGGAGGTTCTCAGTTCTTTCAAGACGAGAATGCAACCAGAACCAGACTCGGAGCGCACTTTGCTCATCCCATTCTGTGAGCTTTAATCTCCGGCCCGGCGAATCCGGTGCTGCCATTTCAGCTTCAAGCATTTGATTCCTCGATCGCTACTCAGCTGCGACTGGTTCTCAGATTGCCGCGAAGTCATCGCTTGCTTCTTTCGGATCCGGCGCTAGTCGAGTTCAGTCAGGTGTTCCTGCAGATTGGCCCATGGAGATGCTTCCCTCATTGGTCAAGTCCTAAGCTGCTTTGCGTTTGCGCTTGTGCCAGGTTTCAGAACAGGTGGAGTTCACAGCGTGTGCTGATTATTAAACACATGAGGTGACATCTTCAATCAAACCTTCTGATTTCGGCGTGGGAAGCAATGAGAGAAAACAGTTGACGCGGAGTGCAAGTGTCCATCCTCTGCCAGAGAAGTTTTGCCGATGCTGGTACTTTTGAGTGTTCGCGTGTGAGCCCAGGAGTCTAGAACGACGAACTGGTTGGTGGCAAGAGCGCAGCCGCGTGGTTTCACCACGGGACTGCTGGAATAATTGTGGGGATAAGTTGACACAAATTTATCGAGCTTCGGTTCTCATGGGAGGGATATGATGCTGGGCATGTCCGGCAAGTTCCCGCTTTGCGACTTGGCGACTTGAGGTTTCCTTCCCGACTTTGTTGCAGAGCTCGGGTAGCAAGGAGACCAAGGCGAGGCGCAAGTGACCGGGGGGGGTATCTGTCGAATCATGCGAGTTTCGCAAACCCCTTGCATTATTTCTTCTTCGTGTCAGCCCACGGCCTGCGGCTTGCGTGGCGCACGCGTGTCTTCTTGATGTTGTTCAAAGATGCCTCTGAGGGATGATAGCGATGCTCCACATCGCATATCCGTTGAGGGTGATCACGGGTGATCTTCGCATCTGAGACTGCCGCAGCGCTTGCACGCCTTAGGGTTTAGGGTTTAGGGTTTAGGGTTTAGGGTTTAGGGGTTAGGGGTTAGGGGTTAGGGTTCGCCCTTCACAGGGCTGTCGACTAAGGGCCTTCGCTTGGGGGGTTGGGGATCCGTCAAAATCGCTTTGAAGCGGGAATGGACAGGTTGATTCTTGATGGGCCTCCAAGCCCCTTGCAAAGGCCCTTTTAAGGCTCTTGAAGGGTGGGTTTTTTTTGATGGATCCCAAATCCCCTTTACAAAAGGCCCTTTGGAAAGGGTGGTTCTCGATGTACCAAAAAACAACCACCCACCTTCCCAGCCGCGAGGTCCCTTCAAGGGCGGTTTGGGAAAGATTGATGATTCCCACGGCCGCAGGCCCTTGAAGATTCCCTTCAAAAAAGGTGTTCGCAGTCAAAGGGCCTTGGAAGGGTGGACATGGGTGGACTCGGGCCCAGCCACCCAAAACGGGCCTCTGCAAGCAAAATTTCAGAATCATCTGAGCCATAGCAGTCGCACCTGTCCTTGAAGCCTTCCAATGCAAGGGAATGCCCTCCGCTCTAGCCAGAATCTTCTTGACGTTCTCGAGCTGCGCAAGCACGGAGTATCAATTCTACTGTGCTTGACGGTGGGCTCTGAGTAGTTCTGGCAATCTGTGACGCTGCGGTTGGCAGGATTGCATCCGCGTCCATGATCAGATGTCAGTGGAGGCCAGCGCTGTCAAACTGTCAAAGCCCGGGGGATGGGTACGCCGGGTAGGCAGTATGAGGCATCACTCAGGAGGGTGTGTCGCTTCCAGGATGTCGCACAGGCCAACGATCAGGTGCAGGCCGTGTGCTTTCTGACACAGCACAAAAGTTTCGCAGGTGTGCGTGCCTGTGGGGTTTGTTGGGATTGCCACGCACGCACACGCATACGAAGCTGGACGAAACCATCTCGGAGCGTTAGGTTGCGGATGCCTTGCTCGTGAGGGTCGCACGTTAGCGCCAGTACTTTGAAGCTTTTCGCAGTTGCGCCAGGCATTGATGCAGGATTTCCTCACCTTCCAGATTTCGGAGGACCAAATCCACGAAGCGATTCTCACGATCAACAAGGCCCTCTCCTTCTCCATTGTCGATTCATGTCGACTCAATGTAGACCCGGGTGCGCGAATTGCTGCAGGGCGTTTTGAAAGCCTTGGGCCTCCGCTGGGAGGCTGTCATCACAGAGGCAGCGAGTTTGTTCTGTGATGCCTTGGCGGTTGCGATGGAGTTGGGCTCGTGACTTCAAGATTGAGGTGGTTGGGTTCACACGCAAGTGGTCACAGGTGCACTCTCGACAAGTTATTCGGCAATATTCGGCATTCTTGCGAAGTGCCAATTGCGGAGTAGGGATTGGGCTCCGCCGCCGACCTTAAGTACTTGGGTGTCATGGCAGAGTGTGCAGGACTGCATCAGCATCCAACAAGTTTCATTGGAGGCCGGGGGGGGGGGGCTGTCAAACTAGCAAAGGGCATCACTCAAGAGGGTGTATTGCTTCCAGGGCCAAGGGTTCTTGAAGGCCACATACTTGCAGCAACGCTTCTCGCAGCTTAACCTGCTCATAGGGTTTTTGTTGATTTCGCTGGCGCCGCAAAGCAGCCGGTCGTGCAGAGGCACTGGAGGAGAAGGCGCACCACTCAGCCTTCGACAGCGCGAAGCGCTGGGTACCGCAGCCGGAGCATGCGCAGCACATCAGACTAGACTAGATGGTTTTGTGATGCCAAGCGGCGTCGCACGATTGACAGGCAAAAGGTTGAAGGTTGAGTTGGGTGTGGCAGGGCAGAAGCCAGTATTTGCCTGTGCACGTCGTCTTGTGTTTTTCCAACGGGGATGATAGAAATGCACCGCGCAAAAGCTGGCAGCAGGCAATGTGCGAACCTACCCGCCTAATAAGGCCTTTTTCAACAAAGCTGCCCAAGCCGACTGGTGGGCACCGGCCTAAGCATTGTGACCTTCCAAGGGAATGTGGAATCGACAGCCGAGACAGCGTTATTGGATTGTTTGAAGCCGCCGCGCGTGAGGCATGGGGCCGCTTCGCGTGAGGCTTGCCACTTGAAGGTCATCTGGTGCTATCACGGTCCAGCGGAAACTTTCTCTCGTCTTCAGGCAGTTGCAGGAGGGTTTCAGTTTGCTTTTCGTCTTCAGATTATGACACAGCTTCCGAACTGGTTGACGACTTGTTGCCGAAGCTCCCCTGCTGGGACCGGCTGCGATGGTTTCCGGAGCGCCGTCCTCGAGAGTTGATTTGGAGGTTGGTGAAGTCAATATTGCGGAAGAATTTAGTTGAAGTTGTGGGAAAGTTACAGTTACGTAGTGAACATCGCAGTGAGAATTCTTTTCCTCAGATCAAGAGTGGCGTGTGTCATTCTAACTATCACTACCAGTATTGCTATTGTTAGCTATTGATAGTTACGTTACAAGTATCCCTTTCATGTTCCTATTCATTTTCTGGTGCTGTCGTAACGCCGTAAGTGTCCTTGGCACCTCATGGGCCAGCCCCATCAAGCAACCTCCTACTGTCGTCAGCCGTGCCCAAAGTAGCCGCGCTGATGTTCGCTGGCAAAGCAGCCTGCGCGACAGTCAACAGCCACAGGTCAAACAAGTTCCGCAAGAAAATGGGGCGCAGGGCTTTCACGGGTTAGGCTTCAAGGGGTGCCTGGCCTGGGCTTCACTTTTCAGGGCTTGGGATTGAGGGAGGGTTGAGGGTTTTGGGTTCGGAGGTTCCTCCTCGATGCCAAGATGCCAAGATGCCAAGCGCAAAGTGCTCAGCCTCCCGCCCTCCCAGCAAATCCAAACTGCTTTGGTCGGCAACCAGTAAACACAGCGAGTGTGGCACAGCGCACCCATCGGCACTGAGTCGGCGACATTGTCGGCTGCCCTTTTTCGTCTTCATCCTACAACCCTCACACGAAGCCCATGGCCTCCCACCCTGAAGATCCCTGAACACATCTGAACACTATTCCTAGAAAAGACCCCGCGTTTTTCGGGTTATGATGAGAAGGCCCAAAGGATGAACGATGCATTTCATGGAAGACCACGGTTTTCAACATCTGAACGTGCTTCGGTGTCATTTTCCAACCTTCTTCGGACCTTTGCTTTTGCACCGCGTCTTCAGACTGTTACTTGCGGATGCTTGCCGGGGCGTTCGGTCTTCACGACGTTTCAAGTTCCGAAGCAGTCTTTTGAGCCGGCCCGGCCATACCGGACAGCTCCACACCCATGACTGCTTCACTCGCTTTCTGTGTGGCTCTGCAACGTAGGGGCTTGCCGTAGCAGACTGGGGATCGCACTTCCGCGTCGAGCCTGCAGAAGCCAACGCCTTAAAGCGCATAGTTTGCACACACACACACAGACAAACATCAGTGACGGTGATGGTTCTTTGTTCAAAACCTGACTGACGAGGACATGGTCTGGGTCCGTAGCTGTGATGACCTCAGTGGCTCTGTGCCTGGTTGAGAAAGTACGTCAAAGATTTTGTTGGAAGGCGAGCTGGATGCCCTGCACCAGGACATGGTAGCCATTTCCAAAGGTTTGCAGCTCAGGTTGACTGTAGGGTGCCTATAGGGTGCCTTCCTTCACGTTGCGCATCGCTTGTTTCATGAGTGTTTCCCGCCATCGCCCTTTCCGCACGGCGAGGCTTCGGGCTGCCAGTGGAGATCAAGGAGATGGCGCGGCCGCCTGCGCATTGCGGGCTGAAGAGAGCTTTGGAGACGCGTGCTTGCTTCCGAGGCGGCTTGCGTGAAATCTCCAAGTGACGAGGCCAGGTACTGTCTTCGCAACCTGCCAAAAAAAAAAGCCGCTCTTGGGGAGCTCTGGGGCAGGAGTGAGGCTTCAAGTGCTGGCGTAGGCTTTAGGCTTCAGTCTGCAGGGCTTGGGGTTGAGGGACCATGCAGAGCCACAAACTTGGACTGCAAGCCCCAAGCTGACAGAGACCACTGATGAGGTGCTCGCGTGCAACAAGCCTCATTGCTAGCGACTGCTAGTGATACAGGCTTCTGCTGGAGGTTCTCAGTTCTTTCAAGGCGAGAATGCAACCAGAACCAGACTCGGAGCGCACTTTGCTCATCCCATTCTGTGAGCTTTAATCTCCGGCCCGGCGAATCCGGTGCTGCCATTTCAGCTTCAAGCATTTGATTCCTCGATCGCTACTCAGCTGCGACTGGTTCTCAGATTGCCGCGAAGTCATCGCTTGCTTCTTTCGGATCCGGCGCTAGTCGAGTTCAGTCAGGTGTTCCTGCAGATTGGCCCATGGAGATGCTTCCCTCATTGGTCAAGTCCTAAGCTGCTTTGCGTTTGCGCTTGTGCCAGGTTTCAGAACAGGTGGAGTTCACAGCGTGTGCTGATTATTAAACACATGAGGTGACATCTTCAATCAAACCTTCTGATTTCGGCGTGGGAAGCAATGAGAGAAAACAGTTGACGCGGAGTGCAAGTGTCCATCCTCTGCCAGCGAAGTTTTGCCGATGCTGGTACTTTTGAGTGTTCGCGCGTGAGCCCAGGAGTCTAGAACGACGAACTGGTTGGTGGCAAGAGCGCAGCCGCGTGGTTTCACCACGGGACTGCTGGAATAATTGTGGGGATAAGTTGACACAAATATCGAGTTTCGGTTCTCATGGGAGGGATATGATGCTGGGCATGTCCGGCAAGTTCCCGCTTTGCGACTTGGCGACTTGAGGTTTCCTTCCCGACTTTGTTGCAGAGCTCGGGCAGCAAGGAGACCAAGGCGAGGCACAAGTGACCGGGGGGGGGGGTATCTGTCGAATCATGCGAGTTTCGCAAACCCCTTGCATTATTTCTTCTTCGTGTCAGCCCACGGCCTGCGGCTTGCGTGGCGCACGCGTGTCTTCTTGATGTTGTTCAAAGATGCCTCTGAGGGATGATAGCGATGCTCCACATCGCATATCCGTTGAGGGTGATCACGGGTGATCTTCGCATCTGAGACTGCCGCAGCGCTTGCACGCCTTAGGGTTTAGGGTTTAGGGTTTAGGGTTTAGGGTTTAGGGGTTAGGGTTCGCCCTTCGCAGGGCTGTCGACTAAGGGCCTTGGCTTGGGGGGTTGGGGATCCGTCAAAATCGCTCTGAAGCGGGAATGGACAGGTTGATTCTTGCTTTTAAGGCTCTTGAAGGGTGGGTTTTTTTTGATGGATCCCAAATCCCCTTTACAAAAGGCCCTTTGGAAAGGGTGGTTTTCGATGTACCAAAAAACAACCACCCACCTTCCCAGCCGCGAGGTCCCTTCAAGGGTGGTTTGGGAAAGGTTGATGCTGATTCCCACGGCCGCAGGCCCTTGAAGATTCCCTTCAAAAAAGGTGTTCGCAGTCAAAGGGCCTTGGAAGGGTGGACTCGGGCCCAGCCACCCAAAACGGGCCTCTGCAAGATTTCAGAATCATCTGAGCCATATCAGTCGCACCTGTCCTTGAAGCCTTCCAATGCAAGGGAAAGCACCAGTATATGGTCATGTGCCTGCCGCCAGCATGCCCTCCACTCTAGCCAGAATCTTCTTGACGTTCTCGAGCTGCGCAAGCACGGAGTATCAATTCTACTGTGCTTGACGGTGGGCTCTGAGTAGTTCTGGCAATCTGTGACGCTGCGGCTGGCAGGATTGCATCCGCGTCCATGATCAGATGTCAGTGGAGGCCAGCGCTGTCAAACTGTCAAAGCCCGGGGGATGGGTACGCCGGGTAGGCAGTATGAGGCATCACTCAGGAGGGTGTGTCGCTTCCAGGATGTCGCACAGGCCAACGATCAGGTGCAGGCCGTGTGCTTTCTGACACAGCACAAAAGTTTCGCAGGTGTGCGTGCCTGTGGGGTTTGTTGGGATTGCCACGCACGCACACGCATACGAAGCTGGACGAAACCATCTCGGAGCGTTAGGTTGCGGATGCCTTGCTCGTGAGGGTCGCACGTTAGCGCCAGTACTTTGAAGCTTTTCGCAGTTGCGCCAGGCATTGATGCAGGATTTCCTCACCTTCCAGATTTCGGAGGACCAAATCCACGAAGCGATTCTCACGATCAACAAGGCCCTCTCCTTCTCCATTGTCGATTCATGTCGACTCAATGTAGACCCGGGTGCGCGAATTGCTGCAGGGCGTTTTGAAAGCCTTGGGCCTCCGCTGGGAGGCTGTCATCACAGAGGCAGCGAGTTTGTTCTGTGATGCCTTGGCGGTTGCGATGGAGTTGGGCTCGTGACTTCAAGATTGAGGTGGTTGGGTTCACACGCAAGTGGTCACAGGTGCACTCTCGACAAGTTATTCGGCAATATTCGGCATTCTTGCGAAGTGCCAATTGCGGAGTAGGGATTGGGCTCCGCCGCCGACCTTAAGTACTTGGGTGTCATGGCAGAGTGTGCAGGACTGCATCAGCATCCAACAAGTTTCATTGGAGGCCGGGGGGGGGGGGCTGTCAAACTAGCAAAGGGCATCACTCAAGAGGGTGTATTGCTTCCAGGGCCAAGGGTTCTTGAAGGCCACATACTTGCAGCAACGCTTCTCGCAGCTTAACCTGCTCATAGGGTTTTTGTTGATTTCGCTGGCGCCGCAAAGCAGCCGGTCGTGCAGAGGCACTGGAGGAGAAGGCGCACCACTCAGCCTTCGACAGCGCGAAGCGCTGGGTACCGCAGCCGGAGCATGCGCAGCACATCAGATTAGACTAGATGGTTTTGTGATGCCAAGCGGCGTCGCACGATTGACAGGCAAAAGGTTGAAGGTTGAGGTGGGTGTGGCAGGGCAGAAGCCAGTATTTGCCTGTGCACGTCGTCTTGTGTTTTTCCAACGGGGATGATAGAAATGCACCGCGCAAAAGCTGGCAGCAGGCAATGTGCGAACCTACCCGCCTAATAAGGCCTTTTTCAACAAAGCTGCCCAAGCCGACTGGTGGGCGCCGGCCTAAGCATTGTGACCTTCCAAGGGAATGTGGAATCGACAGCCGAGACAGCGTTATTGGATTGTTTGAAGCCGCCGCGCGTGAGGCATGGGGCCGCTTCGCGTGAGGCTTGCCGCTTGAAGGTCATCTGGTGCTAGCACGGTCCAGCGGAAACTTTCTCT